TCCTTTTTGCAGCACTGTAGTTTAATTAATCTTAGCATTAAAAATATCATTTTCCATATTGCTTGGATTCAGAATTCTGTTCCAAGTCAAACTTTGGAGAGGACTTGGAGAAAGGAGTGTCCTCCTGGGATGCTGTAGAGATGGGTCATCCTTCAGATACGGAAGATGCTCAAAGTCAGTATTCCTGAAACACTTAGCACTGATCCTTTCAATAACCAAATCCACAGCCACTGAGTCAATTCTGACTCACAGTGAGCCCCATAGGGTTTCCAAGGCTATAAATCTTTATGGAAGTATATCGCCTCATCTTCCTCCTGCTGAGCAGCTGGTGGGTTTGAACCACTGGCCTTCTGATCAGCAGCCAAATGCCTTACCCACTGTGCCACCAGAACTTCAAAGCTTGCAATCCAAAAAAAAACAACTCACTGCCAACGAGTAGGATCTGACTCATAGCAATCCCTCCTTGGGTCTCCAAGGCAGTTCGCTATGGAAGTAGATTGCCCAACCTTCCTTCCCACTAGCCTTCTGGTTAGCAGCCAAATGCCTTAGGCATTATGCTACCAGAGCTCCTGATCCCTGAAATAGTGGAGGGCTTTTTCTCTTTACACAGTGAGAAGAGAAAATGGACACAACCTAAAAGCAACTATCTCAAGTACTCTATATGTCTGAGGTCTAATTCAAAGGATTGCAGTTAAGGAGTAGCACTTGGGATGACTGCTGTTACCTCCTCTCTTTAGTCCATTCATCTTGCACCTTCAAGTTCTATGGGTGGCATACTACTAGGGCCATTCTATCAGTGAGTTCTGCTTGTCTGAACTGCATACAGTTTTAAGCAGAATATAAAACGTGTAAGGGCACTGTGGCCTACACACTGAGGATAATCAACACCCTCATAGATAAAGCATAGATATTCACTATCAGATATGTAAATAAAAAACTCAGTAATCCAGAATAAGAGCTCCCCAATGTTTGCTTTTTAGTCCTTTTTACCAAAGGAAGTCCAGAAGTAGCTTTTAGCATCAAGGGAAAGATTACAGAATCTGTTTACATACGCACTACCCCTCATGCACCTACGTTCACGCCTGCACATACACACTGCCCTCCCCCTCAGGAAAACTTTAAATAGTTCGTTCTAAACCATCAGTCACAGAGAAACTGTGTAAACCAATACCCGAACCTAAGTCATTACCTCCAGGGAGTCACCCTCACAGTCCCCTTCCTCAGTGTTTCTCCCCTTCTCTTCAGTGATGGTATTTACCATTTCAAAAAACCTACAATGGAAGGTGGCATGTGGTCACTCATAATACATACAAAATTAAAAAAAAAAAACCTCCAAACCCACCAAGCCCACTGCCATCGAGCTGCTACAACTCACAGCAACCCTACAGGATAGAGTAGAGCTGCCCCGTAGGGTTTCCAAGGCTGTAAATCTTTACAGAAGCAGACCACCATGTCTTTTTCCCATGGAGCTGATTAATTCGACCTGCAGACCTTTTGGATAGCAGTTGAGAGCTTTAACTACTGTGGCTCCATGGATCCTGTAGTTCAGATCATTGTCTCTTAATTCAGTCTGTTCTCCCACCAGAAAATCTGATCCCATTAGTCTGGGATGTGGCTTTTTTTTTTTTTTTTTTGACTGTTTCTATTAGTGCTTTGCATTTGAAGGATAACACTTGCAAACAAAACTTAAAAAAAACAACATGCATTTTTTTTTTTTTTTTTAAAGATCACCAGATGATTCTAATGTATGCCAGGGTCCAGAACCACTGTTACTGATAATGGTGAGATTATTCAAAACAATTCAAGACCTAAAAATTTGGTAAATTATAAGAGAGCACATTAAAAATGAAACATAATTATCTGACAATCAGTAACTCTCGGTTAATGTTTTACCTGTGGAAAAATAAATTATGACTAAGAAAAGCTAATTTTATTCACAAGAGCCCAAAAGGCTAAGTATTAAACATAATTATAAAATATTAGTCCAAATAAAATATTTACATAACCACACAGCCATGAATTCTTTATAGAAGCTACATGTTCACTCCTTAATTAAAAATAATGATCAGGTAAGAACAATCTTTGTCACAGATAAACAATGACTAACACATACTTTTTACAGTGAAGTTCTGTACAGAAGTAGATTTGGAAATCGTCAGAATTATGAAGCACATACAGAAAACAGCACCGTTCTTCAAATTTAGAAATACTGAAACAAACAAATAAGCATTATTAAGCAAAATACCACTACTGCTGTGGATCTGTAATGAAAAATAAGTATTTTTTATATCCATCCCCAATTCTGCCATCAATGTCATTTGCAACAAAAAGTCATACATAACATTTTTAAAAAGTGCTATTCCCTGTGCCACATAATTAATCTATTTCATATTCTGAACACTGTCTTCCTATTCCTCTCTGGAGTGTTGGGATGCTCTGGCGTGTTGTAAGCACACGGAAGCAGTGTCCCTCTATCACAGAACGGTCAAGGTTTGCCGCCCAGGATAGCACTAACCTACCTACTGGGAATGTGGAAGGTGGTAAAGGCACCTCATTAGCTGAGTGAAAAATGTGGACTGGCACTTGGTTTGGTCTGGACAAATGGCTCACATTACAGCAATACGAAGTAATTTAGAGTTTGTTAGCCAGGTTACACTGCTTTATACCAGGGACTGTCAAACTTTATCCAGTGGGCCAGAGAGCAAGTATCTTAGGTTTGTGGGTCATGCTACTCTATTCTGCCACTGGCACATGAAAGCAGCTTTAGGTACTACAGACGCACACAAGACTTAAATGAATGAACATGCTGTTTTCAATAAAACTTTATTTATAAAACCAGTCAGCAGGCCAGATTTGGTCTGTGGGCCAAAGTCTCCTGACCCTTATTTTATGTCTTTGCACCTTTTTGCAGAATTTTCAATGTCTGTTTTGTTTTGACCTTTCAAAGAAACCCTACTCATCATTTAAGATCCAGCTCACAGCATCCCTTTCTCTCTTCCCTACTTCTACCTAAAAAGAAAAGACTTGCTCTTGGACCTCTCGTCTTTGAATGTACTTCCATCCTTGCTCATCTCATACAGTACTCTCATTATTGTTACATGTCTGTTCTCCTACTAGGCTGAGAGTCCCTTTGGCAGCAGAGTTCATGCCCTAGTCATTTTCTTGTCCTTAGCAATATTCTTAACATTTCACACACAGCTGCTGCCCAATAAATGCCTAGTGACTTGAGCTGAGACTAACTGCTGACCTACTATGAGCTTCTTCTATAGTTTGTCATCTCTTCCTTATAGAGAAAGGAGCAAGGAAAAGTGAACTCTCTTTGAAGTCACCCAATGGAACTCAAATCTCCTAACAAGGAAACATCCAATAGCCACTTGTAGGCATTCTATGTAAATGTCATAAATCAGAATGCTTCATAGTGGTGCCATACCTCATTAAAGAAAGATAATTCACTGGAAAGTGAAAATGATAAAATGGAATTTACATTTGCCATGCTTTCCTAGCTGGATTGTTTAAATATGCAGCAATAAATAGTGAGTGCCTTCCTAGTGACTGGTTTCAAAACTAAATATTAAGAGAGTAAAGCTTTATTTGAGAAGGCGTCAATTGGAAAGACATACAATGAGTCAGTCCATAATCTTGCTTCTGTTCAGATCATTCATGAGGTAATAGGTGTTTTACTAGGCAAACTCCAATTATCAATGACTCAGCCAGCTCTACCCGTTCATGCTTCAACCAAGCCAATTACTATTATTCCTAAAGCAACAGGACATTGCATAACTGACCTACAGAAATCTTTTGTTTTCTTTCATTTCTATTATGTGGGAATAAATAGTAAATTCAACCAATTTGGGTGACATTTGCAAGGGCTGCTTTAACATGAGCTGTATAGAACAAGTATTGAAACACTTAATCAATGGCTCTTGATTCTGAAAAACAATCTCATGTATAAATGCCAGGAGATGGCACTTCCTGAGCCACTGACATCACAGCAATGTCTGAAGGTGAACTGAACTAATGTGACTCACTACGACTTTACCAAACACTGCATTAAGTAAGAGTAACCTTAGGAAAAGTGAAAGGATTCCCAATATTCTTACTTAGTTTATACTGGCTACAGGACAAAACCGAGCAGATGGAAAGTATGTTCTGGATCCATGCAAAGAGCGATTAGTTCCTGAAATTCCAAAAGGAAATGAAAACCATCTTAAACAGTAAGCTAGCTCAACTTGACAGACGAGAGTCCACTTAGGTCACTTTTATCTACATTTTGCTTCTGGTCCACAGTTCACATTTTCCTTGAGTCATCATATTCTGAATAGGTGACAAGCATAGTCAGTTCTAGCAACAGTGAAAGTTTTGTTGCAGAACTATTCATAATGGGGACAATGAGACTGGAAAAGGATAAGCATGGCCACCAACGGAAAGATTCTTGAAGTTCTCCACAGATTTTTAATCATGACTGAAAGCTGTAGCCAAGCCATTAATATTCCAAAAAATATCTTCAAAGTAAGCAAAGTGTACCAACAAAACTTACCTGACTCCCCTGATAGAAGAAGCACTGAAGTTCCACTCATGTATACCTTTCTAGAACACAAGGAAAGAACAACAAAAATGTTGAGTCATCCTAATGAAAAACAACAGAAATTAATAATTTGAAAATAATATACCCAGTTATTTTTTTCCTATTATAATTCTTCATGAATAAGTTATCTAGATGGAAACTGCAACTGTTTCTCAAGCCACAAGGGTAAGGCAATAATTCCTATACTTCATGTGGCCTGAGATTAAAATAGATTCCAAAGGAGTCCAAGAGAATTGCTGTTACTTGCCACTGAGGTGATTCGACTCAAGGCAACCCTATGAATCCTATGTGTGCAGAGGTTAGCTGCTCCATAGGGGTTTCAAAGCTGCGATCTTTTAGGAACAGAATGCCAGGCCTGACTTCTGAGGGGTCTCTGGGTGAATTCGAACTGCTAACCTTCTGACTCCTGGTAGCATAGTGCCTAAGGCACTTGACTGCTCACCAGAAGGCTGGCGGTTCAAACTCACCAGCCACTCCTCGGAAGGAAGGTTGGGCAATCCTACTTTCGTAGTGAGAGTGCCTCGGAAACCCAAGGAGGGGTCGCTATGAGTCGGGGCCGACTCGACGGTAAACAACAACAACAACAACCTTCTGACTAGTAGTCAAGTGCTTAACCGTTTGAACCACCTAGTGACTTCCTAGGAGAATTGTTGTTATTGTTATTTGCCATCAAATTGGACCTGACTCATAGCAACCCCTCCTTGAGTTTCCGAGGCAGTATCACTGTGGAAGTAGATTGCCCAACCTTCCTTCCAAGGAGTGGCTGGTGGGTTTGAACTGCCACCTTCTGGTTAGCAGTTAAGTGTCTTAGGCACTACGCTACCAGAGCTCCTCCTAGGAGAATTATTCTCATTAAATTCTAACGTTTGATTTTTAGCAAATTAACCTTCTTAAGAAAAACAATCCCATTGACTAAACTAATTCACATATAGCCAAGCAGAATTTCTTTTCTAAGAAAGAAAAACATTAATTTGAATAAAATCTTTGTGTGGTTTAAAGATAGTTATTGGGTTATGAGTTACCTTTAGCTAAATTTTATAGCTAGAATCATGATTCTATTTATTCAAAAAATAATAAAGCATATAAGTATGTGAGTATAGGGCCCATCACAGCTACAGTGTGCTATTACTTAATTTATGCAAAATTCAATATAGTAATAAAAGTTGAACATAAAAGATTTGCTGATCATAATGATAAACACAGATGATTTGCAAGGCAAAGATGAAAAAATTGTGGGAATTTAATTTCCTGAGCTTATTCCTAAAACTGAGTTAAAATTAATATTAAATGTATGTTTACTTAAATTACCAGATGGATCACATTCTTTATAAAAATATAAATTTGACAACAGTATAGAATTAACAGCATATATATGCATTTGACTGCTAACCAGAGGGCTGGCGGTTCAACCCACCAGCCACTCCTTGAAAGGAAGGTTGGGCAATCTACTTCCATAGAGATGCCACCTCAGAAACTCAAAGAGGGGTTGCTATGAGTTGAATAGACTCGACAACAGTGAGTTTGGTTTCTTTTTTTGTTATATTTTATATATAAATAACATAGTTGAAAGCAGCTCTGGTAATTCTATGAGTCAGAATCAACTTGATGGTAGCAGGTAGGTAAAGCAGTTGAAATGAGCCCTGATGACACAGTGGTTGGGCGCCTGACTGCTAACTGAAAGGGTGCTGGTTTGAACCCCCAGCTGCTCCACAGAAGAAAGATGTGGCAGTGGCAGTCTGCTTCTGTAAAGATGAGAAAAAAAAACTCAACTGCAAAGGGTCAATTCCGACTCACAGTGACCCCCTTTAGGTTTCTGAGGCGGTAAATCTTTACGGAAGTAGATTGCCCAGTCTTCTTTCTGCGGAGTGGCTGGGGGTGGGGGGTTGAACCACCAATCTTCTTGTTAGCAGTCAAATGCCTTAGGCACTACGCCACCAGAGCTCTTTTCTATAAAGATTATTATGGCCTTGAAAACCTTTTGAGGCGGTTCTACTCTGTCCTATAGTGTCATTATGAGTAAGAATTGATAGGACAGCAATGGGTTTAGTTTTAGAAAGTAGGTGATACATGTGTCCAGTTTTAGCAAGCACTGTATAATAGTAAATTCACACTCAATTCAAGTCATAAATGTACATAAGCTCTTAGCTATTCCCTTAGAATACTACCAGGAGGATGAGGTCTTGACTGGGCAAGTGAAATGGGTAAGAAAGCTTTGTGGCTCTGAGGTGGTGCAGAGTTCTCACCTTGGGTGAAACAACTCAAAAAGCCCCAATTTCTATCCACAGCTTCAAGTTCTTTACTAGGACGATGAAAGGAGCTCTGGTAATTCTATGAGTCAGAATCAACTTGATGGTAGTAGGTAGGTAAAGCAGTTGAAATGAGCCCTGATGACACACTGGTTGAGCGCCTGACTGCTAACTTTTATTTTGTAAAAGTAGATCCTGTCAGGCCCAAATTAGATTCACTAAAAATCTCATTTCAATGCACATCAGTGAGGCCATGGTGGTATATCTTCAGTTAGCACAGAGCACATTTTGTTGTGCATGAAGCCCAGGGAGGGAGAAGAACACAGAAAGATGCTCATGAAACATGGCTCTCCTAACCAGAGTACCCAATCAGTAACCAGTTGCTACAGAGTTGATTAACCAGAGCACCAAAACCAAACCCAACCCACTGCCATCAAGTCAACTCTGACTCATAGCGACTCCCACTGGTTTCCAAGGCCGTAAATCTTTATGAAATTAGATTGCCACATCTTCCTCCTATGAAGCAGCTGGTGGGTTTGAACCACTAACCTTCTGGTTAGCAGTCAAATGCCTTACCTACTATGTCACCAGAGCTCTTTAACTAGAGTACTAAAAACCAAAAAACCAATCTCATTGTTGTCGAGTTGATTTGACAAGGTCCTTGGGTTTCCCAGGCGGTATTTCTATGGAAGTACATTGCCTAGTTTTCCTTCTGAGGAGTGGCTGGTGGGTTTGAATTGTCAGCCTTCTGGTTAGCAGTCAAATGCCTTAGGTACTACGCCACCAGAGCTCCCAACCAGAGTACAGATGGAGTTAATTAAGTAGTGGCCTCAGTAATTTGGAAAGCTGATTTTAAGTTGGTGGCTTTCTCCCCATCTTGAGAAAAGAAGAGTGAGAAAAATCAAAAATGCAAGGAAACAATTCGTCCAAAGGACTCATGGACTACATGAACCCCAGCCTCCACAACCCAGAGAGCAGAAGAACCAGATCATGCCTGGCTACCACTGCGAACTGTCCTGAAAGGGATCAAAATAGGAGGCTGCAGACAGAGTAGGAGAAAAATAAGGAATAAAACTCAAAATCATTAAAAAGATCAGGCTTATTCATCCGATAGAGACTGGTAGAACCCCTGAGACTACGGCCCTCAGACACCCTTCAAGCCTGGAACTGAACTCATTCCATGGGTCAACTTTCAGCCAAAAAATATGCCTATAAGGTGAACAATAACAGCAGGGAGGTACTACTCATTACAACAATCCACCGTAAAAAATCAAAAGGGCAGCATCTCCCCAGGGATAAAGCTCAGAAGGCAGGAAGGATAGGAAAAATAAGTAAATAAATAATAAAGCCTGTTGGCCTCAGGTAACCTTCTAAACATACAACCCAGGAGCTGCAGCTGTTACCTGTACGGTACATACACTCAGGTGCAGCCTGCAACTGAGCTGCTTTCTAAGGCCATCTCCAGGATCACGAGGTGGGGTCTGAGTGCAATGCTGGCAGGGCCAAGGGGGCAACAGAGCAACTCAACAAAGCCACTGGCACACATCTAAAAGGCAGCACTGGGAAAACTTATCTTTCATCAGGCCTGTTCTCAGAGCAGCTAGAGAGAGATTTCCCAGATTGATTGGGCTGGTTGGTAGGTTAGGAGTAGAGTATTCCCAGAGTCTAGTTTCCTGAAAGGCTGCAAGTCCTGCCAGCAAACGTTCCATTCCAGTGGTGTAAAGCCCTGGGCTAGAGATGGAGTTATGGGGAAGGAGAAGGCCTCTCACCATGCCTATTGGGACTTACCACACGGAGGCGCTAGTGAGCTATAAAGCCGAGAAAACCAAAACACCAAACTCACAGTGAGCCCCTTTGAGTTTCCAAGGTGGTAAATCCCTCTGGCAGCGTAGTGCCTAAGGCACTTGACTGCTAACCAGAAGGCTGGCGGTTTAAACCCACCAGCCACTCCTCGGAAGAAAGGTTGGGCAATCTACTTCCGTAGTGATACAGCCTCGAAAACCCAAGGAGGGGTCTCTATGAGTCGGGGCCGACTCGACGGCACATAACAACAACAACAACAAATCTTTATGGAAGTAGATTGCCCAGTCTTCCTTCTGCGGAGTGGCTGGAGGGTTTGAACCACCAACCTTCTGGTTAGCAGTCAAATGCCTTAGGCGCTATGCCACCAGAGTTCCACAAAGCCGAGAGATGAGTTAAAAGGCTGCTGGGGCCTGTCTGGGAGTCAGGGGGAAAAAGAGGGCTATAGGAAGAGCTGAAGTTAGATAATTAGCCCCACCAGACCCAAAACCAACACTAATTCAACACCAAAACTAATTCAATCAGCACAAGCCCCATTTTCTAGGATCAGGTTAGTCTTGGATCCTATGCACCAGCTATGCTAGAACAGGGACCAGGAGCTAAATTCTAATCTAAGGTTGCAGGGGTTATACTGTGGGAGATATTGTTGGTTCCCTAGGCAACAGTCATTCTTTCCCTCTCCCTTGCTAATAAAAAACGAATTCAGTTCAGGTTCAGGTGGCAATATACTTAGGGAATGTGAAAACTATTAGTCTAAATCTGCTATGCTAAATCCATTTCTCTGTCAGCAACTAGCTTAGGAATGGACACAGGATGCAACTTTTGGTACTGAAGAGAAGGTCTGTCTCTCCCATGTTGGATGTTGTCTGTGTGAAGGGATGCTCAGCTGCTACTCAAGAACATGAGAGAAGAAACTGAGAATATTATGGAGACAACTCATTGCTGTCAAGTCAGTT